TTTACAAACTATGAGTTTTAGGACATAAAACGCAACATATTGTTGAATATTGTAATTACATTGGTTATCATGGGTGATTTTATGTACGCTTGTAAGTCAAAATTAGTGGATAATGCATGTCGCATAATGTACGAATATGCATTATTGAATATTGATATTGTGATTGGTTATCATAGGTGATTTTATGCATGCTTGTAAGTCAAAAGTAGCGGATAATGCATGTTGCATAATATGTGAATATGTAGTGACGAATATTGATATTTTAACTGACTATCATGTGTGGTTTTATGTACGTGTAAGTCATAAAGTAGTGGATAATACATATTGCATAATACCCGGCTGAAAAAATGAAATTTTATGAGGTGATTAATTGTTGATATTGAACGAAACAAGGAAATAGGCCAAGTAACAAATGGTGGGTGGGGGGGGGGGGGGGGGGGGGGGGGGGGGGGGGGGGGGGGGGGGGGGGGGGGGGGGGGGGGGGGGGGGGGGGGGGGGGGGGGGGGGGGGGGGGGTAAATGTGCTCAAAGCAGGTCGGCAAGGGTATAGGAGAACCCATCTGTAGAGGCCCAACTTCAAGAAAAATCAGTAAATGCGAACTCAAATTCGGGAATAGGAGTTCCCCCATCTGATCTATCGAGAGAAAACCTTGATACTCCGAAAGTACCTAATATGACCTCGATGATGGGACTGACGCAATCCATGGCACGGACAAATGGGCAATTGACACAACTGATCTGACCTTAATGTAAAGTGCCAGGTAGATGACCCATCACAATCGGGGGGATGCCGACGCAACAGAAGAAAGCAAGTATTTTCGAGCTTTCAAACGTTGGGACCTTGTCGTAGCTGAATTATGGTTTTCAGGTATTGATGAATTTTTTTTTATGTATGAAGTGTCTGGAGAAGCATAGACTGAGTTGCGTGACTTACCTGTTACGCGAAGATGCTAAACTGTGCTGGCAATCAACCTCCCAGGTGATTGCTGTGGACGAAGACGATATCACCTAGACGTAGTTTAGAGCAGTGTTCCTCCGAAAATACTTCAAACTAGTTGTGCAATATAAGAAGCAACGTGAATTCCTAAGCATAGAGCAAGGAAACAGGTCAGTAGAGGAGTATGAACGAGAACAAAAGAGCTGAAAGTAGAATATTTTGTTATGGGCTTGAGGCCCAATGTCCAAGGGGTGGTGTCAACTCAACGTCCACCTGATTATGCAACAGCACTTTGACTTGTCGAGACGCTCGGCGATAGGGAGTATGCGACATAAGACACCCAAATCCACTTAAACACAACGGTTGACCAAAAGAGAAAGAGAGAACAAACGTCACCTACCTTCTCAAAGGTACCTTGGCACCAGGCTAAGACAAATTTAAACCAAGAGCGCAGGCAACCACGTTACACAAACTGTGGGAGACATCACCCAGGACTGTGCAGGATTAAGAATAGGGTATGTTTCAATTATCACCAAGAAGGCCACATTGTCGCGCATTGCACCCAAGAGAGAGCAACGAGTTCCAATAGACCCCCTGGTAACCAAACGACCTCAAACCCGAGGCCAAGTCCGCAACAAGGTCGAATATATGCTACCACTCGCCATGAGGCAGAAAACTCCAACACGACAGTCACAGGTACGCTCACTATTCTTGGTCACTACGCATGAGTCTTATTTGATTCTGGGTCAACCCACTTTTTTATCTCTACTAACCTTGTAAAATACGCAAGAATAGAAGTTGAACCGCTAGGGTACGGGTTGTCGGTGCAGACCCCGATAGGGGTAAGTATGGAAGCCTTCAAGAGGGTAAGGGACTGTTAGTTGTATGTGTCGAACCACACGATGGATGTGATGCTGATAGTCTTAGATATGACCAATTTTGACGTCATCTTAGGAATGGAGTGGTTGGCTAAAATCCATGCTTCCATTGATTGCTTCAACAAGGAGGTTGTGTTCAGACCCCCTGGTCAGCCAAGCTTCAAATTCAAGGGGACCATGGTAGAAATGGTCTCGAGGATAATCTCAACATTAAAGGAAAGGAAGATGTTAAACCAGGGTGCTTAGGGGATATTAGCTCATGTGGCAGAATTAGGGTGAACCGAGGCGAGCATTAACTCAATGTCAGTAGTAAGAGAATTCGCCGACGTGTTCCTAAAAGATCTCCCAACCTACCCCTGGAGCGTGAGGTGGAATTTGAAATTGTACTTGAGCCAAGAACAACCTCTATATCAAGAGCCCCGTATAGAATGGCCCCTGCTGAACAGAAAGAACTAAAGTTGCAGCTTCAAGAGCTACTGGAAAGGCTTTATACGACCAAGTGTGTCCCCTTAGAGAGCCCCAGTGATATTTGTGAAGAAGGACAACTCTATGTGCTTATGCATGGACTATCAGGAGCTTAACAAAGTGACAATTAAGAACAAGTATCCTTTACCTCGGATCGACGACTTGTTCGATCAGTTGCAAGAAGCAGTTGTGTTCTCAAAGATTGACTTACGGTCAGGCTACCATCAGTTGAAGATTAAGGAGAGTGATATCTTAAAGGCAGCCTACGAGTTTAGGGTAATATCGTTTGGCTTGACCAGCGCTCCAGCAGCATTTATGGGGTTGATGAACAAAGTGCTCAGAGAATTCTTGGACAACTTTGTGATCATCTTCATTGATGATATCCTTGTGTATTCCAAGACTAGGGAACACGATGAACATCTTAGTAAGGTGTTGACCACTCTGAGAACGAACAAGTTGTTTGCAAAGTTCTCCAAGTGTGCGTTATGGGCAGAACAAGTAGGATTTCTTGGGCATGTAGTTTCACGAATGGGAGTTACCGTAGACCCAACAAAGATTAAAGTGGTGGTGAATTGGCCTCACCTGACCACAGTGGCTGAGGTACGAAGTTTCCTTGGTCTAGCAGGGTATTATCGGCGGTTTGTGCAGGACTTCTCCAAGATCGCCACCCCCCTCATCGAGTTGACCAAGAAAGGAAAGTCATTTACCTGGAATGATTAGTGCGAGGATAGATTCCAAGAACTTAAACAGAGGTTATTAACAACCCCGATACTTACTATGTCGTCAGGAGATGGAGGCTTTGTAGTATACAGTGATGCTTCAAAAAAAGGGTTAGGGTGTGTCCTCATGCAACATGGGAAGGTTATCGCCTATGCTTCGTGTCAACTAAAAGAATACGAATGAAACTATCCCATCCACGACCTAGAATTCGTAGTAGTGGTATTTGCACTAAAGATTTGGAGATACTACCTTTATGAAGAAAGGACCCAAATTTTCACTGACCACAAGAGTCTTAAATACTTCTTTACTCAAAAGAAGTTAAACATGAGACAACGCAGGTGGTTGGAGTAGGTTAAAGACTATGACGTGGGCATACTCTATCACCTGAGAAAGGCGAACGTGGTAGCTGATGCATTGAGCCAAAAATCAGCACACACGTCTGCTCTAATCACCACATAAAAAGCGATCTAGCAAGATCTGGAACGCACCGATGTAGCGGTGGTCGTGGGGGTGGTCCCAACTCAATTGGCCTAATTAACGGTACAACCGACCTTGAGGAAACGTCTTATTGATAAACAACATGGTAATCTAGATTTGGTTGGAAAAAGACGTTTGATAGATGTCAATCAGATAGAGGAGTTTTCATTGACAGCCAGTGGGGAGCTCTTATACAATGGACAGTTGTGTGTGCCAAATGATGAAGAACTGAAAGTAGAAATCCTAACTGAGGCTCACCACTCACCATTCGCCCTACATCCTGGCAGTACCAAGATGCCTCAGGATTTGAAACGATATTATTGGTGGTGGAATATAAAACGTGATGTAGTCGAGTTTGTGAGCAAGTGTCAGGTTTGTCAACAAGTCAAAGCCCTAAGGCAGAAGCCAGCGAGGCTATTACAACCACTTAGCGTACCTGAATGGAAGTGGGAGAACATTGCCATGGACTTTATCGTGGGATTACCAAGGACGCCTAGAGGCTACACAGTTATATAGGTTGTGGTTGTTAGGCTCACCAAGTCAACTCACTCCTGCCAGGGAAGTCCACTTATTCTGTGGATAAATGGGCTCAGTTGTACTTGAAGGAAGTAACAAGATTGCACGGGGTACTGGTATCCATTGTGTCAGACAAGGATCCCCGTTTCACATCAAAGTTTTGGAAAATCCTTTAGTAAGCATTGGGTACACTACTAGAGTTTAGTACAGCATTCCGCTCACAGACGGATGGTTAAACTGAACGCTTAAACCAAATTCTAGAGGACATGTTACGAGCCTATACGTTAGGTATCGCACCTTTTGAGGCCTTATACAAGAAGAAGTGTCGATCCCCAGTATGTTGGGATGAAGTAGGAGAACGCAAGTTGTTGGGCCTCGACTTAGTGTAAGCAACTAATGAGGCTATCCAGGAAATAAGGACTAGAATGCGTACGGTCCAAAGCAGGCAAAAGAGTTATGCCGATGTGAGACTAAGGGATTTGGAGTTTGAGGTGGGAGACAAAGTATTCCTTAAGGTGGCTCCCATGAAAGGCGTTCTTAGGTTCAGGCACAAAGGAACGTTAAGCCCACGCTTCATTGGACCATTTGAGATCTTGGAGCTAGTGGGACAAGTAACTTACCGGTTGGCCCTACCACCTGTACTTTCAGGAGTTCACAATGTGTTCAATATATCGATGTTGTCACTATACATAGCAAACCCGTCGCATGTGATAGATTTCAAACCTCTATAGTTGGATAACGGTTTGAACTATGAGGAAGAACAAGTGCAAATTTTGGATAGAGAAGTGAAAACCCTACATAATTGAGAGATCGCATTTGTCAAGGTATTATGGTGGAATCGCCAACTAGAAAGAAGTCACTTGGGAACGAGAAAAGGAAATGATGAACATATATTTTTGGGAGGAATATTGTAAGGCTCACGTTTGGGCCCATGGCCCAATACAAAATAATAATTATAAAAATAAGCCCTAGGGTTCAGCCATTTGACCAAACCCTTAGGCAGCCGCCATTCTTCCTCCTTTGTCATTTTCTTCCTTAGGCCGCTGTCACCCAACACTCACGCCGTCACGCAGCCAACTATTTCCCACACCACCCTGTGCCCTTCTCACATCAGAAAACCGTCACCCAACATCCACATTGCCGCCACAAGGGAACGCCATCGCCGTCGCCAGAACCGACAATAAGAGGAGTAAACGCAGAAAAGATTCAACACGGTTTCCTCTTGGGATAGTAGGATTGGAATCAACCCCTACATAGGAAGAAGGCTTAGTTTGAGTGGAGTCAAAACGTTGTTGATTAGGAAAGGCTAAGAAATCAGCTCCCCAGGTAAGGGACATGTCGGTTGAAACAAAACGTTTTGTTTTTAAAAAATGGGTCGAACAGATTTGTCATATGGCTATGTGCTATGTAGTCTGATTGCTGTGTGCCGTGTAATTTGATTAGGTTGTGTGTTGTAGTGTAATTTGATTAGGCTGAGTAATCTAATTAGGTTGTGTTGTTGGGTAGGCTATGTAATCTTATTAGGTTGTGTGTTGTTGGGTAATCTGATTAGGTTGTATGCTGTTGTGTAATTTGATTAGGTTGTGTGTTGTGGTTAGTGGTATTTGGTAATTGGGTTCGATGCGAGTTGTATGACAGAACAAACAGGGGACCTATTGCATGCATATTGTGCTTGCAGGTAGCAATAGTTAAGGAGCTTATGGTAATAGTTACACGTTGTGTGTTTCAAGTAACTAGTCACCAATAGTCACCTTTGAGGTGATTGTAGAAAATGACTATCAAAGTAAGAGTTACACGCTGCGTGTTTTGGGTAACCAACCTTTGATAGTCATTTTGAGGAAATAAGGAAGGATGTTGATGTCCTTGTGGTAATGGTTACACGCTATGTGTTTCGGGTAACACCAGGGATAACCCTTTTAAGGAGTAAAGCTGGCGTTGATGTTCTGGTGGCAATAATCACCCATTGCGTGTTTTAGTTGATCACCTTGTGACGCTTTATATATTTGACCCCAATAAGGGAGTTCCTTAAAAAGTAATTTAATACTCACCCTGTTTATAAATGATTTTTTAGGCGAAGTTGTGGCACGGAGATGACGAGTAGGATGCCAAAGTCAGTCATGGGGCGATTCAAGAATTTTTATGTTTTTGTAGTCTCATTTGTTGGAGAGACGTTTCCGCACTTTTGTCATTAATTTAAACTATGTTGTGGATGCCTAGTTTATGGGAACTAGGCAGTCACACCAAATTTCCTATTGATTTTAATTTCCTACGTTGTTTGAATATCTTTAGCAAACATTTTTTTAACTTTTTAAGGGGTACCCCACACTTGATTTCTAACAAATGATCGTTTTTGCATGGTTTTCATTAATTTTTAAATAAATCATATTATTGGTAACGGCCCTGACCGCTACTTATATGATAAGTTGGGTCGTTACAGTCAGAAATAATTCAAAAGTCAAATCAAAAGTCAAATCTAGAGTATGCAAACGCAACTATTGTAGAAGATAGAGTTTATGAACTAGAGACATATGAAGAAGCATCACAAAACTTGGCTATTATAGCCCTAAATCAAAATCAAAATCAAACTTTGGAACTAGTACCAAGACTAGAAGAATCCATCTCTTGCAAGTGGGCTTACGAAATAATGTCTCTCGGTCAATCGAAAGATACAAGACTCAATATGTAACTCAAGGGTTCTCTCAAGAATATGGACTAGACTATGATGAAACGTTTAGTCTGGTGGCAAAAATAATTGTCGTACCGGTTCCTCCAGTTATTGTGGTAAATAAAGATTGGAAATTTTGTCAAGATGGATATGAAGAATGTTTTCTTGCATGTAGAGTTGGACCAGGAGATCTACATGAACCAACCAAATAGATTCGAAAATGAAGTTTGAGTCATTAGTCAGTATATGAATAATCCGAAGAAGCCTCATTTAGATGCGGCTCGATGGACTTTGAGATATGCTAAAGGTACAATCAATTATGATCGTTTGTATAAAAGAAGTGAAGACTACAAGCTAGTTAGATACCAAGATGCTGACTATGCAGGATATCATGATAGCCGAAGATCAAGCATAAAATATGTGTTCAAGCTCGGTTCGAGAACAACTTTTTGGTGTAACAAAAGACAACCAATAGTATCATTGTCAACTAGAGAAGCAGAGTACAGAGCAGTAGCTGGAGCAGCTTAGGAAAGTACATGGCTGAAACTCTTGATGGAAGATTAACACCAGAAAATTGACTATCCAATACCACTTCATTGTGACAACCAATCTGCGATTCGCATAGCAGAAAATCTGGTATTTCATGTTACAACAAAACATGTGAAGGTGTACTACCATTCCATTAGAGAGAAAGTTCTGAAGGAAGAAAACGAGATGCAACAGATCAAGACAGAAGACCAAGTGACAGACTTGTTTACAAAAGGGCTAATATGAGAGCTTTCATTATCAGCTCAACATGATGCAGCGATTGAAAACTAGTGCTGAGGGGGAGTGTTAAAATATCATCACTAGCCCAATAGAGGAGAGTTCACTAATTGTATGAGCCCATTTATATGCCTTTTAGTAAAATGATTTAGGTATTTTAGAATAAAGATAGCTACAGATTTTAGGAAGAAGATTGAGATATTTTAGGAAGAAGATTCAGATTTTTAGGCCTAGATTGCCTAGGCTTAAATATAAATACCCTCCACCCCACCTAGGTTTCAATCCTAAGAAACCTTGTAAGTCAACATAAGAGTCTTTCAGCACTGGCGATTGTGGTGGCTAGGTCTTGAACCTTTTGTTCATATATTTTTTTTCTTGGTCCATGGTTGCAATTTGTCTATAAAGCAGAATATTTTGTCTTTTTCCGACATGTCTTTGATATCTAACATCAAAACTAAAAATTGTTTAACATAATCTTTTATGTCTCTAGTCTGTCTCAGTCATTGCAGTTTTTTCCTTGCTATGTATTCAACATTTTCGGGAAAAAATTGAGTCATCAACTCTCTCTTGAGATCTTTCCATGAATCGATGGTGCATAACCCATTTTAGATATTGTTCACCTTCAAGCGCCACCAAAGTTTTACATCATCTACAAGAAGCATTGTCGCTAGTATAACTTTTAGGTCTTCGGTACAGGCTCCTGTAGCTTTGAAGTATTGTTCTACATCAAAGATAAAGTTCTCTAACTCGTTTGCATCTCGGTTCCCTTTAAAGACTCTGGGATTCGAGAACTTTAGTTTATTAGGTTCTGCATGAGTTTTCCTTGGGGTGAGACTCTCAACGGCTCTTATTGTCACACTCATTCGGGTGTTCATTCGAGTGTATTAGCTTTGATCATTAAAAGGGGAGAATTAGGTCATGGGACAATATATTGAATATCAAAATTGACCAAGGTAGCCATGAAGAACATGTATTCATCTAGAAGCAAAGGTTCCCTCAAGTATATGAGTCAAGAAAGACAACATTTTAAAAACAAAAACTTGTCGACCTAGTTGTTAGAAGTTACTGTGATGTCTTTTGACTTACTAGTGCTTCATAGCATGTGTTTTTCATGAACCAAATCTTCAAAGAGGTTCTTAGACTACTTTCTAGTAGTGTGTATTGTTAAAAGATCATCACTAGCTTAATAGAGAACCCAAAAATTGTTTGAGCCCATGTCGGTTAGAAATGGCCGACGATCGAAATATGTTGAAACAAATAACTGAAGCGGAAGAACAACTCAAGGGGAGAGAGCTTTTTGGAACAAAAAAACCTTAAGCACTTTAACCCTAAACCTTAACCTTAGCTTTTTGACTTCTTTTCGTAAGTCAAGCTTTTTAACTCACATTTTCATCTGTAAGCTTGACTTTACTCGAGATTCTTCATTTTAAGAATCTCTCGCATGTCTGCAACTTTAATCCTTGCTAGGGTCTTGGTGAGAACGTCTGCACATTACTTTCTAGTTTCGACTTTGCTTGGTCCCTGGTCTTTGGTCGACTTTGCTTCAGAAGAAATTTTAATTTTGCAACATGCAATTTCTTCAACTCCTCCCTTATGTGCATCAATTTATCATTAGGCTTACATGTAGAAAATTCTTGTAACTGCTCCTCTGTGTTTCAACCTTCTTTTTAGGTTTGTGTCTTGGTTTCTTTGGTTGAGATAACAAGTTTGGAGTCTCATTTCTGTTATGCCTTGGTGGTCTTCCTCTAAGCCTCCTTGGTTGAGATGATAACTCTGATGAAACACATGAATTAGTAGGTTGCACTTCACTAACTAAAGTAGCCAGAGGCTGCTTCTTCGATTTATTTATCTATTCCTTTTTCTCTTGACCCGTTGGTTTCTTCTTCACTTTCTTGCTGCCAATGCCAATTAATACTTTTGAAAGATGTTGATAGTCTTTCAATAGTACCTTATATAGGCGGTTTTGCAGCCGTTTTTCCTTCATCAACAAGGCTCCGTTTCGGTCATATATCTTGAGGAATGGGCTGACTGTCTCTACTCTGCTACCTTCTTCTGTTATTTGACCAATACTAATAATATAACTATTCAAACTCGGGATGTAATACACCTTGGTCAATAGACGTTGATCATCGTTCTTACACTGAAACAAGATAGATTCTTTTCCTTGGATCAGTATAATTGATCTATCGCAAAGCTTCACGTTTCCAATGAACTTTTCATCAAGTTCCTTGAACTTTGCTCGATCTCTGGTCATGTGGATGCTTGCTCCGTTGTCTAGGTACCAGAGAAAATTACAAGACAAGAAAGAGTACAATGGAAGTAGTGTGGTACACACAGCCAACAACACAGTGTCACAACTAACACACAGCCAATTACTCAGGTCGACAATACGACAATCATGCGATAATAAATCTGATAAGGTGCACTACATAATGTTTATTGTGTACCAGGTATAAAGAAGAACTTGTTGTCAGTGTCACAACTAACAACATCAAGAAACTACGTCTTGTTTAAGCCAAAAGATGTGAGTCTATAAAGTTGTTAAGGTAATAGGAAAGTCAACGATGGAAGGGCAAAGAGTGGAGTTCATTTACCCCTATCAGAGTTTGCCTATGTAGACAAGACTAAAAGAATGAGACAGTAGATCTATAACATGCAAGATGTCCCGACATGATAGCTACCACAAGTTGAAGGTGATTATGGAGAAATTCATGTTCAAAGGTCTACCTCAACCTGAAGGCAAAATAAACGTTCGCGTTGGATGTTAATATGGTAAAACTCATCAATTACCATACAAAGAATCAAAGTTCAAAGAAAAGAAGTCATTAGAGTTAATTCACTCGAATTTATTTGGTCTAGTCAACTGAACATCAATTAGCAGGATGCGATATATGGCGACGTTCATTGAGGATTACTCCATATATGTGTGGATTTTCTTTATGAAAGAAAAGTCTTACCCATTCTCAAAATTTCAAGAATTCAAGATGACGATCAAATAAAAAGTTGAAAGAAATATTTGTTGCCACGAAGAATACATGTCAAATGAGTTCAATCAATATCTACAAAAGCATGGATACGTCATTAGTGTACATGTGTCAAACCCACCATAACAAAATGGTAGCAAAAAGAATGAATTGACATCTGGTAGAAAATTTTCAAAGGATTTTATGTCAATTTCCACAAGAAACCTTGTAATTAGGAGCAACACGTTATTGGTAACAAGAACATAGAAGGGTATTGAAGAAGAAAGAGAAAAAATGAGGAAAAATAGGAAACGGTTAGGTTATATATGGAAACAAAGACAAATGGAGGAAGGTGATTAAATGTACATAAACCTTTTTTATTTTTATTTTTATTTTCTTTTAACAAAATAAGTATTTATTTTATTTATTTATTATTATTATTATTTGTTTTTTTTTATTTATTTTTTTATTTTTTGTAAAATTGAAGTGTGTTAACTAAATTTTCTAAAGTTTAAATGGATTTTTTTAAACATAGATATTTTTTATAATTTAGATAAAGGTTAAAGTGTGTATCAAATGTGTAACGGTATTAATGCAAGTGAAAGACGACAAAGAACAATAGTTTCTTTACTGTTAGATTTATTTTCTATCTTTATCCTCAACTAATTAACGATAATCTCATAGTTATTTTGTTAGATTCGAGTTATAAACTATGGCTTTAATAATAGTTTTCAAGCCACCATTGACATGACATCATTCAAAGCTTTGTATGTGTATTTGGGATGAAGTGGGTGAATGCGAGTTGTTAGGGCCAAAGTTGGTTTAAACTATCAATGAAGTCATGCAAAAGATCGGGATGTGGACTCGTG